CGTGTTCTATGTTCTTTGTACTTTATTAGCAGCCCTGTGGTGCATGCACTAATGAGCGCCGCAATCGGCGCCCGAGTAATTAAATGCACTCGAGCGTTTTGAGGGAGTCTGGTTTTTAAGAAGCGCGATGATTATGACTATTACCGCCGCTTTAATTGCACATCTTGCAGCCATTCGTTTCCAACTCGCGTCTTATGTAAGATTAAACATTGATTTCGTCCACTTCATTTCTTTTAAGCAGCTACGCGTGATGAACGTTCGCGTTGAAGCGCGCGCGTCCGACTGCACGTTAGGATTTTCAACCAAATGGTCAGATGGAAGATGTGGTTCAAAGTTCTTTCGTAAATTAAGGAAGTTATATCAAAGTTGATGCGCAGGTGAATTTGCCAATATTAGAGTCGCAGCAAATGTGTGCAGCGTTTATACGAATTATAAAAGTGGAATTGCAGGAAAACTTTTTCTATAATAATAACATTCGCTCGGTGTATTCACGTGTTCACATTTTCTATTTGTACAAAAATACGCGCACACTTTTATTTAGTCTCACAACCCAAAATCCGTCACATTTTTTAACTAATGTCCGGACATGTTCAAATGATCGCCAGGGATAAAAACGGACCTGTTTTGATTTGTCTCCCAAACGTGCGCACGCACCCCGTGAATGATTCACACAAATAAATCGATTATCAGAAAGCAGACGGGCAAAACGAAGAACAAAAACACTGGTTACCTGTTAGATTTAAATAACGTGTCATGACGAGTGCGTTTGCGCTAACGTCGATTCATTTCTCAATCGATTTCACACTCATTTTGCTCTTTTTGTGCGTGCGCGCGCGTGTGTGTCTTTGTGAAGACAAAGCTAGTAAATTGCAAAATTATTCTTTAATTTTAAATAGGACGGCTTCAAAAAAATTATTTGAAGATTGATCGTGGCAAATGTGAATTGCTCATTTGTAAAACTGTCTTGGAAATTGTTTATTTTGTGGTATCATCGTGCAGACCCAAGTTGTAAAATTTCTAAAGAGAACGCGTGACAACATGCGGAAGGTCTGAATTGAAACACACGCAGGCACGCGCACAAACGTTAAATCTTCTCTGGAGATTTCCACAGTTAATACCAAATGAAATTGCCTTTCGAAAACTGGCACCGCTCAATTGGATTGGATCCTTTTGTTCTATTAAGCAAGCCATTATCGGCCCTTTAATAACCGACGTGGCCTGTCAACTGTGCCAGATAAGCAGACAACACACCGACCACAATATTAGGTACATCTAACGGCATTCCAAATTACAAGTGCTAGATAAAAAAAAAAAAAAACGGAAAAACCCTGCCTTGATAAAAGCCATGTCTAACGATATATTTATTATGATTTGTAATATCTCGGTTGCCTTACACGCGCGTGGCGTCACTGCACCACTGCAGTTTTCCACCACAATAATAAAAATGTATTTTGTGTGTGTGTGAGAAGTTTCCAACATGATATGCCACGCAAATTAGCTTTTGCGCCAAAGCTCTTTGACTTTCGCTCCGTTTTTCTGCATACTCCCAAAAATGTACGCCAAGACGTGGATATTCAATATTTTCACGGGCGATAGTCATACATCCCCGCACAGCTAAAGAATTCGGCGCTATCTCAGGCTCGCATAACAGAACCTGCATTGCGCCCTTTAATTGCACGACTACCCCCCACTTACCTTTTTCTTGCATGCATGCATGCGCGTTCTTTAGACTGTGATTCTGATTGAGCGCCCAGGGTCAAAACTCACGATTGTTTTAACACACACACACACACACACACACACACACACACACACACACACACACACCACACAAGCGCCACAAGGACGAATAACCAGATTGAATTATGATTATCTCGTCTTCTTTGTGTATATTTGCCTGGGAAATAAGTGCGCGTGCGCGTGTGCGGGCATTAACCCTTTTGAGGCTATCCGCGTGCATTCAGTCGACTCTGGCAGCAATTTGATTTAAAGGTCATTCTCTCCTATCGATCCGCTTTGGCGAGGGGGGGGGCGGGGGGGTGGGGGGGGGGGGGGGGCGTAGGAATTGATCATGTGAAATAAAAGAGACGGTATGGGAGACTGTACAGAGTCCAGACCTCCTCGGTTGCATTTGTAATTGTCCGTGCGCGCTCGGCGGCGGCGGCCCCGAGTGCGAATTGGAGCGAGAACGTGGGAGAGAGCGCGTGCGACTCGACTCGGCTGCACACCAGTTTGACTTTCTATTAGAATCGCATTAGTTTTGAATAATAGGCACGACCCCATGCATAAGAGCGATGTGGGATGCATAACGAAGAAGTTCAATGCTCGTGAACTTTGGATCAGAAGAAAGCAGGAGGAGAAAAAAAAAGGTTGCATTGTTGTTTGACGTCACGTCCTGAACGGCGGGCGGCGGTTAATGGAGAAATGGTGTCTGCGTGATATTGGTGGGTGGGAGGAAAGGGGTGTTAAGGGAGCTGGGGGGGGGGGTGCGTGGCTCGGCTCCAGGGATGGAAAGCAGAGGTCAGGGAATGGAAATCGATACATATTCAGGGCTAGCCACATCGGCTTCCTAACTAACAATGTGTGGCCGCAAGAGCCACTCACAAGCTTGCTCGCATCCGCGCCGAGGGAGCAGGAATCCCACGCGTGCACTTCCGCTTTGCCTCGTACGCGTATAAGGATGACGATGTCAGTTCAATTCGAAATACAGCACATACACGTTCTGTCCCCAACGCTTTTTGGGGTACCATCAAATAGGAAAATACACATTACAATAAAGTATATTTGTCATAGAGCTATTTTCTAATTGCAATTATTTGTCCGAAATGCCCTCCACGACCATAGCAATATCGTTGCGTTTTTTTTTCCAGTTAAACATGAACATTATAAAAAAAAATAAATAAATAAATAAAAAAAAGAAAGAAATAGCTGACAGTTAAGCTCAACGTCTTTGGACGGCAGTTGACAACGAATCGAGGACGTCCGTCCTGAATTCTTTATCATCGATTCATGCCTCTCTTTCATAGCATCAAATTGCTTGTGTGAAATGCTCGGATTGGACAAAATGTCAACAAGAAAAGAAAAGAAATGTACTCGCCTTTTGCAGCCTTTCTACTATGGCTAATTACAAGTCCCTGTCCGACATCATGTCCATTTGACGTTTGCACTACGTGTACCTAAACAAAGATGCCACAAACAATGCAGCCAGATATTTTTATGACCAGTGTTGCCACGCTTACTTCAAAAAAAAAAAAACGTTCAAATATTTGTTGCTTAAAGGGTCACAACACCGAAACATCAATGCGAGTTAGTTTCCTATTAGTCCATCTATGGGCTTTTGCATTGTGTGACTTTCGGCAGACAAAATGTTTGGTTGAATACAAAACGATTCTCTTTTTTCCCCCCCAGTAAACCTCAAGTCGGAGCCTCAATAAACAGCTTGAGGCAAGTACTCAGCCTACGCATTGAATTGTTCACTATCTGCCAAAGTGCTCCTTGTTATGAAGTTTGCTGACCCCATCCAGCGCATGAAACTCAAAAGCAAGAATTTGTACGAGCGACAGCTGGAATCTCAAAGAATTTGTAAGTTGAGGTACTACTGCATACCTGTACATCTTTGCAACTAAACTTGAAATGTTACGTAACAAGTAGCGTCGTCGCTGATGTGATGGCTTTTTTAGAGGTAGCAAATGAGATGAACCTGACTCAAGAGTGCCTCTGCTGGTTGCATCAATCAATTACACCAAGGGCTGATTTGAGGATTAGAAATTTCAGGGTGTTGATAGATTTGGTGCCTGAGCACAATGAGGGTGGAGGGTGGTATTTAATTGAATAGTTTGGGCTTCGAGGAGCTCTTACAGCACATAAAAAAACAATATCAATTTCCAAATTCTTCACTAGTCGTTAATAAATGCCACCTTTACAGTACAGGATGACAGTGGAGTGGATTTTCACGCCCCTCTCATGCCACTCCCACAGGAAAAAAAATCCTATCCCAGTCCCGGTCTAGAGACTTTCAAATTGGCTGCACATATCTGTGTAAATTATAAAAAAAAAAATTCCCACTGGATAATCCCACTCCTGTCTGCTCCCGCGAACATTTAACCTGTACCGTCCCAATCCCGTGATTAAATGTCAAGTTGACTCCTCCCAACCCGTGGGAATCCCCTCCAAAATGTCACCCTGACAATTGCATTCATATTGAGAAACAGGAAACTCATTGGATCGTATACCCCATTGATTCGAACTGAATTGACCTGAATCGAATCATCCCACTTTAACCCTTTCACGCACTCTGTAACCTGATAACATGATAATCTGTCCACTGTAATAACCGCTTTCCCTGAAAGGGTTAAAATGTACCATCCTTGTGTCAAATTGTCTTTTATAGAAGAGATGCACACTCCTATTTGTGCCCTTACTACAAATGTGCCTGTTTGGAACCCAATTTGGCTTCCTACCCGAGTTGATGGACTCCTGCTGTAGCCCTTATTTCAAGACTCTGCAAATCTTGAGACTCCAAGGTAAAGTTTTAGAGTTACCCTTTTCCAGAGCAAAAAATTGGAGCTAAAATTGGTTCCTTGATGGGGTTTTTGGGGGAATGAGTTCAAAATTGTGTTCCACTTTTGTATTAGCACGTGCACAATTTCTCAGAAAAGGGACTTTATCTTTCATGCATGATTAGTTTCTTGTCATTTCGTATCGCTGGACTACTGGGAAACACCCAATTTGCCTCGGTACTTTACGAAAGGTACAATTTTGTACCACCAGTTTGTCAAATAAAGATCTCTCTCCAATTTGGAGTCCACATCCATCAGTGGGTTCCATCAGCGAGATCATCACGCGTCGTGAAACAGCCTCAGGGGTTTGACCTGCGGTAAAACGAGCGCCTCAGCTTTCCCACAAGCAGCTTTGAAAGGTTGTACACCAAGGCGTGTCTCTTTCGCTACTTGCATCGCGCCGGCCGACTCGCTGGGTGAGCGCTTAACGAACGACGAGTCTCCCAAACCGCAGCCGCGCCGTTTACTCCCAAGCCTCCCCACCGCCGCCATCAATTATTAAAGGGGAGCGATCGATCATCTCGCCAGCTTACATTCAGATTTATTAATAGATTTTTTTTTTTTTTTGCATCAATCATAGTAAATATATACGTTATGTCCAATTAGAAGCCATGCCTTGTCAAGGCTCCAAAAGAAGAAGTGCTGATTGTTTATTTTGTGATCAGCTCAGTTTGGATCTACTTGGATCCATGTTGTGATCGACACCATTGTGGATTGCGCTATTGATCCACGGCTGGGAGCTGTTGGATGAAATAATTGTGTTTCGGGCCTACAAGAATGCGATTAACCATGTGTTGAGGCAGCGAGAGTTCGCCACCTTGAACTGTCCTTCAACTGAAGGGCAAAAAAACGCAGGGGGCAGGGGGGGTTGCCTCCGCAGACCCATTCAGCACCACGGAAAGCATTACAGACTCAAACTACGTGCTTTCTAATAGGTCATAAAATCAAGTTACTAGACTGTAACGCTTTTAACAGAATAAGGGCAACAATTGCCGGCGACTTTTAATTGCCAGTGTGTGGCGGATGTGCATAAGGGGTGTAGTCCACTGAATAAAGGCCCCTCATTCTCCTCCTAAATAATGCCCGCCGCCCCTCCTTGCAACCTTTTTTTTTTTTGTCCAGCGAGTCCTGACCTAAGCACCCTGGAACGTGCCTCGGCCATTCATATGCAAATGAGCAAACTGTGCTTTTTTTGTTGTTGAAGGTTTATTGGCAAGAATGTGTGTGTGTGTGTGTGTGTGTGTGTGTGTGTGTGTGTGTGTGTGTGTGTGTGTGTGTGTGTGTGTGTGTGTGTGTGTGTGGAGTAGAGGAATTAAAATAGTGCAACAGGGAAATGAAACGGAGACAATAACACTGCTGAGTATGGAATAAATGTACAAAAGGGGTGGGTACTTTTTGTATATAAATGGATGAAAAAAATGAACAAATTACGCGCATCTGTGGGTTCAATTAATCGACACCATTGATACATTGGTGGTATAAAATTGACAAATGGCTGTTTTTTTGTGGTTTTTTTTGTGATCCCCCCCCCCTCCAAAAAAAGTAGACCAAGGTAAATAATCATCATCAAACGGTAACACTTTAATTTTTTTTTTTTTTTTACCTTATGTGTTCGATAGATGTTGGCGATGGTGTTGACAACAAGTTTTGGAGCTGTTTTGCTTCATCTTGAACTTGAACCTGATACTAGGTGGAAGGAATTACAAACTGTTCCAAACAGGTACTCAACGGTCAGGCTTCTGCTCGAAGGCAAAAACATGTCAGAGAAAGCCTACTAGAACATCTAAACTTGATTTGGAGTTAGTCAGAGCTCAGTGAACAATTTCAATGGTGGCAGGTGTTTACTGACTCCAATTTAAGATGACTTTGAACGTGAGTGGTTGGTTCTAAACACAGCCACATCTCACTCATAAGAGGGTGTGTGCACTTATGCAATTCAATTTCTTCATTTACCCCCCATCTTCAAAAGTTATTTTAATTCAATTTAGTGGCACTTTTCATAGGTTACATAAATGATGGGAAAAGGTCTGAAATTGTGTGTCTTGGTCTCATTTTTTTCATATCACAAAAACATTGCCTTTGAGCAGGAGTGTGTAAACGTTTTATATCCACTGTACTGTCTATAAAATCCCCAAAGAACTTTTGGTTCCTTACCCAAAGCTTTGGAAGCTCCATAATACTGCAGCCCCTGTTTTTGTAATTGTACTTACATTTATGAAAAAAAAAATGATGCAATGATTCTCAAGATGATAATTTATATTCAGTTTTCATGTATTAAAAAAATTGCGTCGTGGGCCGTAGGTTGCCCACCACAGATATTTCTTCTTTTCCAGGCTTTTCTACGCTAAGTTTGAATAATATTTTTTTAATGATGCAATGATGAAACATATGTTTATTATCACGAATAATTGGTGGGGTGAATGTGGTTTGATTGTTTTTACAATTGTCTGGCAAGCCCTACTGCACATGGCACATGAGTCAATTGGGTTATTTTCTATTTTGGTTACCAACCATAAATTTAGGAAGTTGACTCTCCTAAATGTATGTAGATAAAAAGGATACGGTGACTGAACCACTGTTGAATATTTCGCCCCCCAACTGTGATTTGGAACCAATGGTGGCCGTTGCCCATTTCAGAAAAGATGTTTTAATACATTTCCCAACCAAACTAAATTGGTTGGGAAAAGTGAGGCAATGACTGAGCAAATGATATATTATGAGTATTTGTGGGTTACATGTGCATTTATATGTTTTTAAAATTGCCCCACCATTGATATATAACACCTCTAAAGAACAAATGGAGGCAATTGTACGTCGCGATCCTTCTTTAGTGCAAACATCTTTTTAAAATAAATGACACTCCCGGTGATATTTCCTGAAAATCTAAGTTAAGGAAGAGCCATAAAAAAAGACACATTTGGAACAGACGCCACACATAAAAGAAATGAAACACTGTGACAACGCTATCAGAGAAAGCGTTTTTTTTTTTTTTTTTAATAGCAGCTGTCTTTTTACGACAGCCCCCCCCCCCTTCGACCCCCTGTGCATCCCCCCCTTTACATCTACTATACACCCCTCTCATTCTCCTGCAGGGGAGAGACCAATGGGAGAGAGTGCTGAGGCGGGATAATTGATAGATGCACTGGCTATCCTTATCGATCAGGCCCGTATTGATCCCACCAAATACATTGAGATGGAGTGTGGAATTCAACACAGATGCAAAAGACGAATTGTTTTCGCCGTTAATGCCTCCTTTAAACGTCTCTTCCAATGCCCTGTCTTGTTTACATCAAAGCCGCTCTTCATTCGTGGATCAAATGTAAAAATTGGGTCTTCTTTTAAAAAAGGTGCATCTTTTTTTTTTTTTTTTGGTTTGTTTGTTTTTTTTTACTTGCTGAGGGTCTGCATGAGGACTGCATTGGCGCCTCTGGGTGTTTGCTCCATTAGTCGTGAAGGGCATGCACAGTCCCCCTAAAACGAGGCATGTCTACTCACACAGTATTCGTGTGTGTGTGTGTGTGTGTGTGTGTGTGTGTGTGTGTGTGTGTGTGTGTGTGTGTGTGTGTGTGTGTGCATGCATGTACAGACAGTGGCATTTTCGCATTAGCTAAGCAGGGCAGCTTGCATTGATTTGTGCGACTGTGATGAATTTGGAATAGTAATTTGAAGTTATTGATTGATGTGGCCCAGCGAGCCTCACTTTCAGCATAGTGCACCGCCCACCTCTCTCTCTCTCTCTCTCTCTCTCTCTCTCTCACACACACACAGGGCCCATGCATGCACCCAGGGTAACGGTAATTTTAAATGCAATCAGTCAAATAATTCCCCCCAGCACGGATTTGCATACAGGCCATTTGTCATTTTGTCCCTATATGGGCGCCATTTTGGCTCTTGGTCGTCCACAAAAACAAGCTAAGGATGCATTCTGCTAAATAAAAACAACTTTTTTTTTTTTTTTTTGCTTTCGTTCAAGGTAATAGATTTAAACACACCTCAGCACCACCTTGTCTTCACCCCCACAACGGATATTGGCGGCTTTTATCCCTTATATAGAGTGTTGAAGATATAAAAGCCCGCACAGCCCAATTAGCTTTAACTGCGGTGGCACTTAAAGAGACAATTGCGGGTCGGCGTTTAAATCTTTATTTACCAGAAACCCCAGCCGAAAAAAAAAACGCGCCGAGAAACAATTTACATGCCAATTAAGTGCTTTTCAATAAGGCATCGACTGGAACTAAAATATGCCACTATAGCCTGCCTTAATTGAAGTGTTGCCTTGAAAAACGACTCACAAAAAAAAAAAAAAAACAAGGGAGGGGGTGATTGACGTCTAACGGGTCTTTTACAGCAAAGAGGCGTCGATGAGAGCTTTTAAGCTCAGCTCGAGTGTTTTTATTCAAGTCTTCATCGACGAGAATGATGGGGAGACGTGTTTTTGTGCACACACGAAAAGCAACAGAGGAGGATTTGAAGGGGGGTTTCCGACAAAACGGCTCCTCGTGTTTGAAGAGAATGCGCGCATCTGTTTTTGGCTGCCTTGATCCAAATCGATCATTTATCAGAGCGCCACTCTGAGAGGGGACGCCTGGACCTAAAGTATTGATCCACGGGAGGTCATGCAACCCCCCCCCCTCCTGTTCCCCCCTCCCCAGCTTCATCTCTTCGAGGCCATCCTTATTTGCAAAGATGCATTTATTTTTTTGTAGGTGGTGGGGGGGGGGTGCAAAACCAAATTTGTTTGCAGTCCAATTTATTCGTATTTAATGAGTTGCGCGTTTGGGGAAGAGCGTAAAATGCGTGCGTGAAATTGATGCGAACTTGCGCAAATCAAACTCACCCCCTCACCCCCGCCAGTCTGTTTACAGCATCAATCAAACAGAAGGCCAACATTTAACTCCCTTCAACCAAGTTTGACTCGATAGAATCGACTAATAACTCCTAGTAATGTCCGTTTGACTGCCATCGACAGTCTCGCCACATTGACTTTGGATTGATCCGGTTGGGGAGCCGCTGCTGTTGAAGTGGGGCCGCCTCGTCACTCACCTGCAAGCCTCAGCGCCGACATCCGCTGGAATTCGGGCTCCTGGAGCCACTTCCACATCCTCCGGAAGGTCTCGCGGCCCGACTTGAGTTTACTCCACGGTTTAGGGTTCCGCAGCAGGTCGGACAGGGTGCCCTGCGAGCGGCACAAGATCCTCTGGGCGAAGATGGCCTGCGGGATGCTGTAGCGCTTGAGCTCGGCCGTTATTCGCTGCGCCACCTCCTTGGTGTTGATCTCCTCCACCTGGCCGGACCCGCCCCCCTGCGCGCCCCCGACCACCGCCTGCCGATCCCGCTCCGACAGCATCGAGCCGTTGGCCTGAGAGTGCGGGTGGCTGTGGTGGTGGATGCCGTTGAGGGACGTCATGAGGCCGGCGCCGTGACCGCCGAGCCCCCGCGCCAGGTGCTCCTCGCCCCTCGACAGCATGGCGGCGTGGGAATCGAACCCGCCCGCCGAGAGCATCTTGTCGTTGGAGAGGTGAGCTCCGGGGCCGTAGGCGCCGAGGGACTGCTGGGAGCCGTGCAAGGGTCCGAGGCCGTTGGAAAGGGGAGACAGCGACTGGCCCATGCCGGACATGTCCTTGGGGTAATGGCCGTACAGGTTGCTCATGGAAGCGAGGCTGCGGTCGTCCCGCATGAGCGTGAAGCTGCCGCTCACGTTGCCCGCCGCCAGCCGCTGGTGCGCCGGGTGGTGGTGATGCGCGTGCGGGTGCGGGTGGTGGAACTTCTCCGACACGGTGGAGATGGGCGGCAGGTGCTGCAGCGGCGTCAAGGTGGTGTAGGTGCTGCTCAGGCTCATCCCCCCCGAGTCGCACGACATGCTCATGGCCGGGTGCAAGGGACCGGAGAGCGCGTGGTCGGCGCGATAGTCGCCCGCGCCCTCCAAGATGGAGGCCATGCTGGACACCATGGCCGAGCGGCCGTGGGACGACACCAAGTTCCGGTGCGACGCCGCCGACGGCTGCCGCGCGTGGTGGGGGGAGTTCATGAGGTCCCCGCTTTGGTGGGAGTGAGCCACGCCGTGCAGGTTGCCAATGTTCTCCATTGTAAGCTCCATGTTTGGGGGAGGAAATAAAGAGGGGGGGATCTTTAATTCCACCCCGCTCGGACGGACGGACGCACGCACACGCACGCACGCACACGCGCTCTGTCTGGTCTCACTCCTCTCCTCGCTCCTCTCCCTTTCCTTGCCGATAAATTGGGAACGATTTCAAAGCCGAGCCATTGATTGCGGTTGTTTGTCTGCAGTCAATCCAGCATGGTCCTCTCTCTCCTAGTGGCGCCAACCTCTGCTCGTTTTCCACTTCTCTCTCTCTCGCACTCTCTCTCTCTCTCTCTCTGTGCGTGTGGACGTTCACATCACAGCAGCCAGCCTGTGCGCATGTGCGCGCCCCCGTGGCGTATCCTCGAACGCGCGCGCTCTCGGTAAGGGGATGGACCTGACGTCACGCCGACGTGTCCGACTGATTGGGTTGCGTACGGGGAACTCGAACTCCAGCCCTTCAAGATTGCATTAGGCGGCAGCGTCGGCGTCCGTGATGATAAACAAAACGAAAAAAAAAGGTACACTCTTGAGCAACATTTACTTTAAGGAGGATAACGGCAGGATTCTTCCTTGTTGTTTTGTGATAAAAATGCAGAGTGCCACGTGTTCTGCGTGTGAAAGGTTCAATATTCATAACGCTAGGCCACGTGGAGTTTTCAACATTCGATAGTTCTCGTCGCAGCGCCTTTAATCACCAACACGGTGCATCATTTATTCATGCTAAAAAGTGAATATTGAATTTTCGAGATGCATGCAAGATGATTTGTGTGTAGGTGCTTAATGCGTCACATTGAGTGCACAAAGCCTGACCTTTAACCACCACATATTTTAAGCACAGCAAACACTCAATTGGAATGCTCGGGCTGAGCGGGCCTTGGGCGGATGGCAGTGACATGGCAACACATTTCCTATGATGTTAAATTGAGTTTATTGTGCAACATTCTAGTGTCTGGTATCACCACCAGTTTCAACTCCCCACTCCAGGTATGATATTCTAAAATGATCCGTCGTCCAAATTTTTAGTTAAAATATGTTTTCAAAGGGGCAGCTCAGTGATCTACTGGTTAACATGTCCACCTCACTGGACAGAGTTTCAGGATTTGATTCCTTCCTGTGTAGCGTTTGCATGTTCCCCCCTTGTCCCTGCGTTGTTTTTTTCCGGGTACTCCAGTTTCCTCCCACATCTAAGTCAAAATGTATAATTCAAAATTTAAACATAATCAGGAAGACATAGAAGGAGACTTTGCCTCAGTGTGCATCTAAAGCACAGGTGTCAAAGTCAAGGCCCGGGGGCCAGATCTGGCCCGTCATATCATTTTATGTGGCCCGCGAAAGCATGTTAAGTTCCATGATGCTTGCTAAAGTCTGAACCAAAATTTCAAATTGTCATATGTAATCCACAATAATAGTCCTTATTCATGACTTCTGATTCCAAAGCAAGTTATCCATCAATTTGTTGTGCGCCGTGCATGTAATATGTGGAGGTGATTAAACATTTATATGGTTTCCCAAAATTCCTTACGGCCCACCAAGGGAAACCGGAACTACAATGTGGCCCTCAACAAAAATGAGTTTGACACCCCTGATCTAAAGGGAGTGCTTGATAAGTGTTTTGCTTTTTCTTTGGCTTTTTTTTTTTTTTAAACCCTCAAGAACATTGGTCCACAAGCATCTTATCAGTGTCATCAGTTTCAAAATAATTCAGTAGCTATTATGGGGTTTTCATTCTTTGGCAAAAGGGTACGAGCAATTTTGCCTGTGACGGCTGGACAAAACAAAGAACGCTGTCCCTTCTGTGAAACAAACAGCAGGTTCATTTCTGGGGCTGCTTTGCTAAAACCAGCACAAGGTGTCTTGAGCTTATGCTGGGTCCAAAACAAACAAACAAAAAAAATCTATGTATCTCGAGTGTCAGATAGCTTGCTTACTGTTGCAAGTCATCCAACAGGATATAGTCACAGACAAGATAATTCTCTTCCTGATTTTCATTTGTTCGTTTCTCGTATTTTTTTTGTTGTTGTTTATTTTTGTTTTTGTCAGTTTCAAGCTTTTGTAGTGATCATTGTGGATTTTTTTTTCTTTCATTAACACAGAGGCACCAAATATTTTGACCACGGAAAGTCACTGACTGAATGCAAGCATCTTTCTTTCCTCCGCTCCGTTACATGTCTGTCGAGTGTCTTCAAAAGGGTGAGTAGTTTGGCTTTTAAAGTTTCATCTTACAGGGTTACATGTTTTTGAGTTGACCAAATGTTAAAAACCTTCAAGGTTTTACGGTGGTGGCAGTTTCACCCTGGACAAAATCAAATCATCTGTATCCAGATACATGTTTTAAGTACAAAGTAGATTACTTAAAAAAAACTATCTGGATTCAGCTGATTTTATTTCGTGCAACCACTTGACGAAATGAAGTTGAATAAATGCAAAACATTTTTTTCAGCATGACACACCTGCGATTGCAAAATTTTGGATCTGAGATATATCCTTCGAATCCCTTCGAAAGATGAGTGTTTTTACTTTGTTAGTTTCACACTGATTAACTTAATCTTACACTTGCGTGCTGGTTACAAAGGCTCCAAATGCTGATGTTACTTTTTAAATCACGCATAAATGATGGCGACTGTTTCAACCTGGGAAAAAAATGAATTCAATTTCCTTTTTTTTCTTATGGAGGAAAGTAGTTACACAACAACTTTGAAAGTCAACCGACAGAGTCATGTCACCGATTCATGTTCCATTTCGGAGGTTCCTTATACGAAAGTCGCTGCTGGCTGACGTCAATCCAGGTCAGTGATCCATCACTGTCGAAGTGTGTATGGATCAGGAGGTGCGTCAATACAGCCCGGTGCCTATTGGAACGTGTGTGTGTGTGTGTGTGTGTGTGTGTGTGTGTGTGTGTGTGTGTGTGTGTGTGTGTGTGTGTGTGTGTGCGTGCGGGGTGGGGTATATTCATATAGATGCAGCAACACATATGGGGATGGAGGAAATGGATTACACATGTACAAGGCGAGTAAATGAGGGAGCTATAAATGTGCTCGGGATGTTGTCGTGCATTTCTTTGTCAAGAGGGTGAAACACTCACCTGTCAATATACTCTAACGCAGGATGGTTTCATAAAGGGTGCATGGGGAAACGGTCATCGCGTGCTCTGAGGAACAGACTAGATTTGGGTAAAAATGTTTAGCCATCCGTTTTCTAGAGTACTTGTCTTCATCGGGGTCAGTGTGTATTCTGACTTGGGCGAGATGAGGGCGACACCCTGGACTGGTTGCCAGTCAATCATAGGGCACATGCAGACAAGCATTCAGACTTACATTCGCACAGGGCTGCATGGGAGAAATGCTCACCAATGAAGTCTTGTTTGATTGGTTTTGATTCTATATGCACTAAGAAATGCTAGGTTGTTTTTCTAATCCACTCGTTGGGCAGCTGTTGACTCTGTGCAGATTGGTTACATTTTACCCAAGGTTGGGTTTATGATTTTGAGCCCGCAGATTGGGTTGAAATTTGGATTGCAGGGGGGCCAAAAGAGCTGAATCTGGTCGCCATTTTGGAGTTTGTTGGGTCGGTCCCTTTTTGAACCCGTTTGAGTTATTTTTGACACAACTGTTGTTAGAGTGGTCCAGTGGGTCGCATGTCGAATTCACAGTGCAGAGGTACCAGGTTCAATTCCAGCTCTGGCCTCCCTATGTGGAGTTTGCATGTTCTACCCGGGCCTGCGTGGGTTTTCTCCGCGTCCTCCGGTTTCCTCCCACATTCCAAAAACATGCATGGCAGGCTGATTGAACACTGCAAATTGTCCCTAGGTGTGAGTGTGAGCGTGGACGGTTGTTCGTCTCTATGTGCCCTGTGATTCGCTGGCAACCGGTTCAGGGTATCCCTCGCTTACTGCCCGAAGATGACTGGGATAGGCTCCAGCATGCCCCGCGACCCTTGTGAGGATAAGCGGATCAGAACATGGATTGATGGATGTTTTTAAGAGTGCATTGGTTGGTAACTAATTCGGATTGTTCGTTTTTACCCCTTGTAGGATCAAAATCTTGACTCAATGTGGTGGATCAAATCCTTGGTCGAAATAAAACAAGCATCTGTCCCTTTTGTACCCACAGGTGGGTTTGCGTCACTCTTAAAACTGCAGGGTCAAAAAGAACTCAATGTTGGGGTCAAAAATCGGGCCAACATGCTACTTGGATCAGTTTGACACAACTTTCTGGGTTGTTTTCCACAATTCTTTTTTTTTTTTTGTATAAAACTACCCCATAAATGGGTTGTTCAACAACCCCAACAGAGGTCATATTGACCCATGTAGTGAGTCCGTCTATTTTTATTTGTATTGTTTATTTTATTTATTTATTTATTTATTTACCAAAATTGGGTTATTTTTGAACCAACAGTTTTTTTCAGTGCATCGTTCATTTTTCATTCTTTTTTTCCCCATCTTTGATAACGCTAACTTGTGGTTGCAACCCAATTGTGTTATATGTGCACCATACACTCTTAAAACTGCTGAGTCAACAATAACCCAATGTATTCAGAAATTGGACCGACCCACGACTTCGGTCAATTCGACCCAATTTTCTGGGTGGTTTTCGATGAAACATTTTTTTTGTTGACAATGACACAAAATGTTGGTGCAAAACTCTGCATGGTTGAGTCAAATTCACCCAAGTAGCAGGTCGGTCCAATTTTTGACTTTTTTGATTTTTTTTTTTAAGGACTAATCTATTTCAAAAGCCCACCATGTTTCCCAGTAACAAAAATGTGAATTGGAAAATTGTTATGACCATATCACCATTTGCGGGATTTTTATAACTTCTCCGCATGTTTGTTTAGAATTTGACAACCGTATAAATCAATTGCTCCTCTAGCTGGACCATCTAATCGCCTGTGAGCCATATGTTGCCCACCACTTGCTGCGTGTGCTGCTGTTCCCACTAAAAATCAAAACTTTTTCAAAGTGATTTATTGTTTGTGTAAGCAGGGGATTGTTTTGTGCATTCGGCGGGCCCTTATCTACAAATGAGCGTATATATGCCGATGTTATGCAAAAATAATGAGGCCATTAGTGGTTAAAACCAAATAGCCCAAACAAAGCAATTGGCGTCGCTAATCATGTGTGCCTCGCTTCAAATCATGTCTGCGGGTGTTTCTTAGCAGCGTAGATCAAAGCCATCTGTAAACAGCAGAGGCGCACAAAATGAGAGCAGCGACATGTTGATGGCACCTTCTGGCTTGTGCCACCACCATCACCATCATCACCGCCACCAGAAGAGAACAACAACAGCAGCAGCGGCAAGAATGTCCGCTCGCGTTAATATCCTTCTATTGATCCCGGCAAAGCACCGCTATCGAAAATGAATTACCGAGGCCCCGCACAGCAGCGAATCCGTCATCGGTGCTCAGCCAGTCGGCCACGGCGCGCTCATTGCACGGCCGCGCGGTGCAACTTCATGGATTGAAGTGATTCTCATCACACGCAGTCTCTCGATGAAGGACAAAATGGACCGAGT